CATCAAAGATCGATTTAAATTTGTAATCACAAATCAGACATGATTGTTTAATTAAAAATCAGATATAATAATTATTACATGATTTTGTCAAAAAATAATTATTATAATATATATAAAATAAAGTATAAATAATAATTATTAATTTAATGTTACAGCACTGACAAAACAAGTACCTAGTAATAAAAATAATTTGTAGTTTAATTATAAAAAACTTTTAATTTTTGTTGAAATCAGTAACAACAGTATATATATATATATATATATATAATAAATCCAACATTCGTCTCACATAGCGCGTACCATCCACATCACACTTGTGGAACCATTTGAGGTTTTGCTATGAACATTACTGTAAACATTCGCGTAAACATTTAGGCCATCGTGTGACACCACCTTAATCTTACCAATGGTAAATAACCTTCAGATATGTAACAATGGACATTGAACTTTTAATCCTTTCCTTTTTAAATGAAAAAATAATAATATGACACTTACCTTTAATGAGAATAATCATTAATTGATGTTAAGACATATACAGGGTGTCCCGTAAGATAACATATAATATTTACAATCTACATCTATTTACAGGCATCCATTTTTATTTTGTATTTATTGTACCTTCATCTATAATTTCTCAATCTCATCTTGCATTTAAATGTAATTTTTTGACAATATATACAACTAGTTCTAATTCTAACTATTTATATTCGCTTCTTGTTTCTACTGTTAAATTAGTTCTGCAGTGTACGGTCTTTCATTTTTATTTTGTATTCACGTTGTAATTTTATTTATAATTTCTTAATTCTATCTTGTATGTATATGTATATATTTATAAGTAATTAGTTTATAGATGTATTTTTTCTTGTATCCATTAATATCACTAACTTTTAGATATTGTGATATAACTGGTTTATGTTTTGTTTTACTATTTACCTGGGAATCATTACTTACTTCCACCATCCCCCAACTAGGTCAACTATTTTTCCCATGTGTTACCTTCCCCACCATCCTCATATTTCTCCAGTTACAACCGAAACTTCATACTGCATACACCCATAAGTCTTTATTTTTTCGTTTATTTCACTCTCTCTTTATGTCCATTACTTCTTATTTTTTATTATTTTTCCTGTTTCTTTCAATCTTTCCTTGAGATCTGCAGGATTATATTCATTATTGCATATATTATCCATCCTCCTTACTAGATTCATTTTTTCATTTCCAGTAATCTACAATAATTGTTACCATTTATTTACTTCAGGTAAGGGTCTTGTTACTTAGTTATACTTTGTTTACTATGTTTATATAGTTTATGCTCTTAACATTTCTATGCACTTGCTATTCACATTGTTAATAATTTTAATAGGTTTATTCACATTGTTTATATTTTTTATCTAAATATTATGTAACTTCTACATTTTTCTATAGCCTTTTGTATCTTGTCCGTGCTAGCCCTGAAGAAGACCAAACAATTTGTATATACAAAGAAATATATAATTCGAATCGCACGATCGGTGTCCTTTCTTTAGAAATAATAAAATTTAATTTTTATGATCACCTACAATTATTTTTATAAAAAACAATCATTTTCAGTTATTTGCAAATAGTCAAGACAGCGAAGTATTACAGGTTGCTACTCAAATTTTTCATCCCCATGTGCAGCCGAGAAGGCATATGTCCTGATTATTAAAAGTTAAATAAAAAGGTTAATGATAAATAAATAATAAACATGTTAATTCTCTATATAATTTTAATCTTTGGTTGAAGAGTAAACAACAATGGAATAGAGACATCGATAAGATTTAAAAAAATATTTTTTACACTTTAATTGTATTTTAACAATATACCACTTGAAAAATTACATTCCATTAGAATGTTAGGAACAAGAAATAAACTATTTATCATACTTCTTCAATTTGTTTACCATCATTTTGTTCTGAGCAAAACCTATATTGCACTTCATTGATTTTTTAATGTATCGTTTTCTTCTGAGAACCTGTAAATAACAAGAAAATTAGTTGGTTTACGGGTTAAGGAACTATCATTCTTCTAATTTTTAGTTTTATACTTTTAAGAAACTTTAAAATAAATAAAACATAATCTTTATGACCATTTATTTCATTGTACTGTAACAAAACTATATCATCACTGCTGCTAAAAGTATCAATGTCTCTATTCTTATTTCTTCACTACTATATTCTGTCTATATAAAAATAGATAGGGAAGTGAAATCAGTTGTTATAAATACAAAACGTTCTACCCCTCCTTTTGAAGGATTGATTCATTATTTGTTTGCTCTAATTTTAGTTTTTTATTAAATTTGTAAAAAGTAATGTAATGTAAATAAAGTAATGAATAAGTAGAAATAAGCTTTCCCATTGGGTGGATAAAGGTGTGAATGGATTAAAAAGATTTGTTAATACAATGTAATTTGCATTTTTCAACACATTTTCTTTGGTTTGATTTATGGGTAAATTAATACCTCACTAGGACATAGGAAAAAGATTTTGTCAGAAATTCTGACTTGGATCTGTATAGATACCCCATGATCCCTTCTTCAGAAAGTTTATTAAGGAGATTTTTTGTCTCTCTAATGTATCTTAAGGAGATTTAAAATCTGCAGAAATTGTACTTTGTTAATACTGGAAACCATTCTTCATCTACTAAGAGAGACTAGTTATTTGTTCAGTGGTGTCTCAATGTTTTTAAAATTCTGCTTGGTTGTTAGACATTTGTTTCCAGGTATCTTTGTAGCCTATTGGTTAATTTTTCATAAACTTTAAAAAAAGATACTTACAAGTGATATTGATGATATAACAAGATAGAGATGTTATTTAAAAAAATAATAAAAGTTATTTTGTATTTTATTATAAAATTAAAAATAAACTAATAAAAAAAAAACATTTTTATCAAAAGCGGATTAATAGCAATTTTCAGTATATTTATGTATAACATTTATTTATATTGAAGACCAAGAAGGCGACCACGAATCTTCTATGTCATCCAGATGGAACAAATAAGGACACACAGAGGAAAGACCTTTGGAAAAATGAGAAAACTTGCCAGGGACAGAAAAGCCATGGCACCAATGGCTAGAAGCACCGCCACCTTGTAAGGCAAATGGGAGGAAGAAAAAGAAGAAGTAATTTATACATTTTGTTGACTTTTTCTGTTTTAAGATTAATTTTGTATGACAATATTTTTTTTATATATTGTTATAAAGAATTATTCAAGATGTCCCAATTAACTGAACTAAGAATGTCACAAAAGTAAATATGACAAAAAAACATAAGAAAAATTATTAATCTCAAAAGAAAATGTGATTTTCAGTGTTCGTTTATCATATTACAGAAACCTAAAGAAAAGATCTATAGATAAGACTCACTTTGTTTAGCAATCAGATTGTTTGCTATTATCAAATTTAAATAAACTGAAATTGAGAATGTTTTATCCACTAATTCCAACATAATTTCTTTTTTATCTTGACATAAATTATTCCTTCCATTGAAAAAAAAAAATATATATATATATATAAACTTAACTATTTAATTGGAAATAAGGTCACTTAATTATTATTTAATAAACTATTGAATGTTCATTTCTTCTGTTTATTGACGTTTCGATCTCGGTATTTTCTTTTTATTAGTCAACCATGGGATCCCCTTCAAAGTTTTACAAAATAGAGCTTCGATCAGGCCAGGGACACACCGACAGTCTCAGCACCGTCCACTAGCACATATATTAAGCTACTGAGCACATATATTAAGGTAGCTTAATATATGTGCTAGTGGACGGTGCTGAGAATGTCGGTGTGTCCCTGGCCTGATCGAAGCTCTATTTTGTAAAACTTTGAAGAGGATCCCATGGTTGACTAATAAAAAGAAAATACCGGGATCGAAACATCAATAAACAGAAGAAATGAACATTCAATAGTTTATTAAATAATAATTAAGTGACCTTATTCCCAATTAAATAGTTAAGTTTAAATTTAATACTCAAAGGTCGATTAAGGAAAAGTTGTAAATATATATATATATATATATATATATAATAGACCATTAAAACATGATTTCTAAATTATCGACTAAAACAATTATTCCAAAATAACATTATTCAATCAACAAAAAAATCTTGTTACTTCCAGAACAAGATACCTACTTAGAAACAAGCATGTTCAGTACAGCATAGACAATCCAAATGTTAATTACCCTAACTGGATAAATGAAAAAAATTCAAACTGGGTTGTTCTGAATTTATGTATTATGCAATGATATAGTCAAAACCCTTTGGCTATATTTCTGTTTATAGCAAGGAAGTGCTTTTGTTACAATTTTATATTTTAAAGAGCCTCCTCCCTAAAAAAAAAAGCCTCGGTAAATTATGTTATTATAAAAATTATGAGTGATAATTAAAATAACCAACATAATTATTTCATTAAGAGTAACCACTTTTACAGAGCCTAGGTGTGCCCCATCGGGGAAATACCGATTCCAGGGATAAATAATAAATACGGAGGAAACAGAATAAATAATTTATCTGCCATAAACCGATATTCAAACCTGGAACTTTGAGCATCGGAAACTCAGAGCTGAAATGTATTACTATAAACATAAATATAAATTTTATTAAAGAGTAACAGTAGTGTAGTTGGAGGGTAATAAAACGTTTCCTGTGAAGCATTTTTGAATTACTTAAATTAATTTTTTCATTTATTTATCGCTTCTTATTCGTCAAAAAAACACAAAACTTAAATTTCCTACTTTTCAGCAGAACATCGGACCATTTTTTATATAAACTTTTTTGTAGCTCTTCAGATCTGCTATTACCCCTTTAAATATTTTCCTCTACTTAAGGGACATCCTGAATATTTATATTATATTAGACATTGGTATAAATTATTTATACATATTTTTTTAGATTTTTTAACACATATTACTACAATGGATTTTTTTAATCATGTATCATACTTACATTTCATCTGTAGAAACATAAAACACTGAAGGTCATTCTTTTTTTCTCATAGATAATTGAGGAAAGGTTGACTTATTAGGCTGAACATTCATTCGTGACGCTAGGTGAACAAATGGTTCATAAAGGGAACTTCTTTCTAGAGCAGATACATCATATATACGCAACTTCTCTCGCATTGCCCATGCCTGAGCTTTAGAAACTACTCCATGATCCGGAGATGGAGTAAAATGATTAGAGATCACAATGACTATTATCTGGAACAATAATTTACTTAAAACAATACATAAATATGATCTTTAATAATAAAATGATGAAATAAAATTAAAAAAGAAACCAGATACACACAAAATTTAAACAATATGTTATGGAATTGAGTTTTTAGGGTGTATATCCTTTATAAAGTATTATTTTCTCTTGTATTGATGATGATATACTTATTTTAAATTTTCTTAATCTTTTTGTTTTTTTGTAACACAACAAATCTAAATAAATGTAAAAATCTTAAGAAGCTGAATTAAGACATTCTTAAAATAATAATATTGATTTCAATTGGTTGCTAATGAATCTCTTATAAAGAATTTATCACATCTTTTATTAATGTTAATGAGAATTAACTTCCCTTGTTTATGATTTTTCAGGAATATAACTAATGTGTCACTTAGCCTTTTTGAACATTTAGACGTCTTGTCCCCATCATTTGCCAACAATGTTTCTGTAATAATATACAATACAAATATGAAGTACAACATGGATAAGGAAAAATATTATATAAAGCTAAATTATACAGTGATACAAACTGGATTAATACAATTTTAAAATAATGTTGTACATTTGTTTATAATTACATACGAACTGCAAAAACAAATATATATATATATATATATATATATATATATTTCATATTTTAATGTATCTTTATTGCATAAATAATGTAAACTAGTGATGGGGTTAACATCCTGAAACACTCCAGAATATTAAAAGACATGTTACTATTACTAAATAATTATAAAAATTCCTGAAAACTTCCAACAAAATATTAATTAAAAGAATTAAACATAGTTTAGTTTTAAACATCTGACCAATCAGCTTTGAAAGGTACATATGATCATCAGTGTAAATACAAATTATTTAGTTTTTAATCTATACTAAGTTTGTGATATGAACATTTATATTATTCACAGAAAATATTTAACCCCAAAATGAAGATTAATTTTACATTTGATTTCAAATAAGGTATTCTCTGACATTTCAGCCAAATGGGGACCGTGAGGGCCAAGACTGTAGGGGTGTAGTGACCTTAACCTCGAGTCTAAAATGGTCAATTGAAATACGGCCTGGGTGGGTTGTCATTTATTTCATGGAAAACTCACAGAATGAATCTCAACCCCTCCCACTCCGGTTAGAATAGGTTGGTGGATACATGTAGGCTAATCTCTCTCCCTCATATGTATAAAATAGCCAGGTAGTGGGGTAATGTGTGTGTATGTGGTCACCAGAAAAATAGGAAGATGCCACTATAACATATTAATCAGTTTGCTTGGGTTAAATGTACTTTAAAACTATTATTACCTAGCTAGTTTTAAAAGGGGACAGCCTAAGTGTTATTAAAGATGAGATAGATTTTGCATTGGGAATGGATATTATGGAAAAAAATATCAATGTCTGGAATAGTTAGAAACAACCAGTATTCTGATGGAAATTTAGACTCCAGAAAATTAAATTTAAAAAAAAAATACAGAATACAGTGGATCAAAAAAGTATTGGCATACTCCAATTTTTCTGAAAATTTCAATAGGATTAAGATATTTTCCACAAATAATATTTAAATAATAACACGGCCCTTTGACCCGGGGAAGGGGGGGGGGATCTCGGGCAGCGTGGCTTTCCTTGGTGGACGGTCACCCATCCAAGTGCTAGCCACGCTCGGTGCTGTATATATATATATGTATATATATATATATATATATATATATATATATATATAATGGGGCCGGGGTAGCCATAAAGGCTAAGGCGCTTGCAATAGGTAATCAAAGTTAAGAAACATCGAGCGTGATCAATACTTGGATGGGTGACCGCCCAAGGAAAGACACGCTGCCTGAGATTCCTCCCCTCCCATGGGGTATGTGAGCCCCATCAACCTACTGGAGGCACCTCACACCACAGGGGAGGGTGAGTGACCCTGTGGTAGACATAGCTCCTGGTCCTCCAGGTTGGGGGTTGGGCATAGGGCTAATAACCCTATCCCGTCAACACCATATTAAGAAACCAAAATCCAGCCTCGGAAAATCTGACTGTCTTAACATGGTAATGACTCCGGCTGTGACGGATTCCTTATCAGATCATGGAATGTTCGGAGCTTATACAGACCAGGAACTGTCCAAATGGTAGTTAATGAAGTGAAAAGGTACAACATACCGTTAACAGCCATTCAAGAGGTAAGGTGGCCAGATGTTGGGGAAACTACTATAGATGACTACACACTGTTCTACACCGGGAGAAACGACAAAAATGGGACAGCTGGCACCGGATTTATAGTTAATCCGGCCACAAGGAAGTCAGTAATAAACTTCAACCCAGTTAATGAAAGGATAAGTGTGCTGCATGTAAGAGGTCGTTGGTTTAATATCACGATAATTAATGTGTATGCATCGACTGAAGAAAAAGAAGATGAAGTGAAGGCCGATTTCTACGATCAGTTAGAAAAAGTTGTGGACAAGGCTCCAAAATATGACATAATATTAGTCATGGGAGACTTCAATGCCAAGATAGGCCAAGAAACCCAATTTAAGCCCATCATCGGAGGCCAAAGTTTCCACGAAACTAGCAATGACAATGGAGTGAGATGTATTAGTCTGGCAGCAGCTGAAGGTCTAGTAGTAAGCAATACAATGTTCCTGCACAAGGACATACACAAGTATACGTGAGTAAATCCTAAAGGAGCAAAAAGTCAAATTGACCATGTGCTGATAAACAAGAGGCATCAAAGCTCCATACAAGACATAAGGAGTTATCGTGGAGCAGACTGTGATTCGATCCATACTCAGATTAGAATCAAACTCTGTCAGAGACTGAAGCGAATCCACCGAATTGCGGACCAAATGGAAAGAAAAAGGTACGAAGTCCGAAATTTGAAAAACTCTATAGTACAAGCTGAATTTCAAATTGAGCTTAAAAATAAATTTGAACCCTTGAACTCGGAAGGCCTGATGGTTGACCAACACTGGGAGGCACTAGAGTCAGGACTAAAACAAACAGCTAAGGAAGTAATAGGGATTCAGGAAAAAAGAGAAGCCAAGAAATGGTTCACAGAAGCATGCGAAAAGGCAGTGGAGGAAAGAAGAAAAGTCCTCTGCTTACAAATTGATCAAGCTATGCTGGACAAACACACAGCTGTCAGGAAAAAGACAAACAAAATAATAGGAACAGCCAAAAGAGAATTCTTTGAAGAAAGATTACAAACTATTGAGGAAAACTGGCAGGCTGGAATTCTTCACAGATATCAGGAAAGAAAGGGTAAAATAAAAAGCGAGAAATACGCAAATGTGAGGGAAAGATGGCAAATTGACAGCATCAAAAGAAAAGAAGGAACACTTCCAGCAGCTGCTTAATCAAGGGAACACCACAAACAAAGAAGACATCGACCCACTTGAGGTTGAAAAAACAGATATTCTGGATGTGTAAATACCTATCGGCAGACTTAAAAGAAGAAAGGCTCCAGGGATAGACAACATACCATCAGAATTGTTCAAGGATGGGGGAGAAGCCAAGCTGTTACATCTAATCCAGAAGATATGGGACAAAGAACAGATACCAGAAGCATGGAGCACAGGATTGATCTGTCCTATCCTTAAGAAGGGCTCCATGTATGAATGTGGAAATTATAGAGGCATAGTACTTCTTCCCGTTGCCTATAAAATAATGACTAATATTCTACTAAATCGGATATATCCGTATTATGAAAACATAATAGGCGACCATCACACAGGATTTAGGAGAGGCTAGCTCATATATTCATCCTAAAACAAGAACTTGAAAAACCATGGGAAGTAGATCAGGACGTACACGTATTATTTGTCGACTTCAAAGCAGCCTATGACTCCGTGGACAGAAACTGTCTCTGGAAGATCATGACTGTGCTGGGTGTTCCCAGGAAGTTAGTGAGGTTGATTTGATTGGAAAATCCTAGCATATGCAGATGATATAGCTGTCCTCAGAAGTAATCAAGAGGATATTGAGAGACTCGCTCGGACTCTGTTAAAAGAAGCAGAACAAATCGGACTACAAGTCAAAGTAGATAAAACAAAATACATGATAGTTAGCCGAAACATCCACCCTAATAACATGATCGGTGTGGACTCTAAGTCATTCCCGAAAGTAGACAGATTCAAATACCTCTGCTCCATAATAACCTCAATAAATGATCAACTAACAGAGACAGATCAGCGAATAACAAGTGCAAACAGATCTTTCTTCTCTCTTTCAAGGGAACTGAAATCCAGAAAAATCTTCAGAAATCTAAAAATAAGGGTGATTAAGCCAATTCTGTTGTACGGTAGTGAAACCTGGGCTCTAACCCGCACAATAGAAGCCAGAATTGAGAGATTAGAAAGAAAAGTTCTACGTAGGATAACAGGACCTGTATGGGACCAGAACCTTGACACATGAAGGAGACGGAACAATAAAGAACTGCTGAAAGAAACGGGTCAGTCAATATCTCATGACATGAAGGCAAGGAGGTTAAGATGAGCAGGGCATGTAGCTCATAGCAATCCATCAGGACGCCTTTACAAAACAATGAATGCCAGAGTAGTAGGGAAGAGACCACGTGGGAGGCCAAAAATCAGATGGATAGATAGGATACACAAAGATATAGCTGAGCTTCATGCCGCAAACTGGAAAGCAGTAGCCCAAGATAGGCAGAGGTGGAGAAGGCTGGTTCAGGTGGCCAAAGATCTACAAGGTCTGTAGAGCCAAACGAAAAAATATATATATATATATTTTTTTAAATTTATATATATATATATATACAGATATATATACATACAGGATGTTTCAGGGTTAAGTGGCCAAACTGCAAAAATAATCTAAGGACCTCAAAACAAGAAAAAAATTTCCTCTGTAGATATGTCCGCAAATACTTTGTTTAGGAGATCTTCACACCTAAATTTTTTTGTTGTAATGAATTATTTATGTTATATAAAATAAATAAAACCTATTTATTTGTTCTAACTATTTTATTAATCAAATGTAAACATTAAAATTCATATTAAATGTTGTTCAAAGTGATTTCCTTGAGCATTAAGAGAGGCTTCACATTTTTCTTTAACAGCAGGGGTGGCAGAACGGTACTGCTGGATATGTGTTATTGTTTCACAAGATTCAACTATCCTTCTTCGTAAATAATTAAGGTCATTGACTGGACTTGCTCAATCATATCCTATATCCCATATCCCAATCAATGGATTGGCCGTGCAGGACCAAAGGCTTGGCCTGCAGGCTCTCCAAACCTAATACCACTAGATTTTTTTGTTTAGGGTGACATTAAACAAAAAGTCTATACAAGTCCAGTCAATGACCTTCATTCCCTATGAAGAAGGATAATTGAATCTTGTGAAACAATAACATAAATCCAGTGCCATTCTGTCACTGCTGCATTTAATCTTCTGTAGAAGATTATGAAAAGTTTCATAGAATACGTTCAGAACTTTAATATAAATACAAAAAAAAATTTAACAATAAACTTTTTTGACTTGAATAAAAGTTAAGAATTTGTTTTTTTAAATTTTAGTCAAGCCCTGGAATCATCATGAAGGATTGACAAACAAGTTGCAGGTATCAATTGATTCAGTACAGAGCTGTAAAAAACAAACATCAATAGTTATCTATCTCATATTGTTTCTCTTTTATGGAATTTTGTCCCCAAAAAGATGCTTTTGTCCCATTATGTAAGGTGACAGTTCCTGTAGACAATTGATTTATTGTTAAATCACTTCCAGACAGTTGTGGGAACCAAAAAGTGGCTTTGAATTGCTAAAATTGTGAACATAAGTGAGGATTCAGAGTTGGCTTGCTGAAGTATACTTTTTATAAATGGCCCTAACTACCAGGGTTCAAATCACACCAGGACTTTGTGTAGCCCATCTTAGGTTTGCTCAAGAATATATAGCTTGGATGGAGAAAAAAATGGGTAAAAATAGTGTTTCTATTATTTCCTTCAGATCGCTGAGTTAAGGAATGAGAGCATTTCAAACAACATGACCTCTATGAAAGGTTGCCTTTCAGAGGTGGATCAGTGATGGTTAGTAGAAGAATAACTTCAGAGGTAAAGATATATATCTCCATGAGTACTTGAGAGAGAGCCTTAAGTATTGCTATTTGCCCCTTACATTGGTGAAGATTTCATTTTGATACATGACAACTATTGGCCACAGGTTGCTAATGTGGTTACCTTATTAAACATTCCTCAGTGAGCAGACACTGTCTCATTTCCATATGATGTTCTAGGGAAGTGTATCCAAAGGTGGAATAATCTTACCGTGAAGCTACAACACCTCAAATCCACGCTAGCAGAAGAGTGGAATCATATTGTTGAACATCAATTTAATAAGCAGTTTAGCGAGGAAAATAAAGGCAGCTGAATAGGCAATGTGAGGTATTACATGATATTAACACAATTATTAAGCATTTTAATTAAGAAAAATCAAATAAGAATATTTTATTATTTTTCACAAGTTTTAAACATTGGTAAATAAAATTGTTTTTCTATACAAGTATTTCTTATTTTTAAATATTCCCCTGTTATACCTCATGGGTACCGACTTCACTTGGCACATACAAAAACTAATATAAAAAAAATAAATTTTTTGCACCAAAGAAGAAATATTATTATTATATGTTAGAAATACATGGACAGTTAATAAACTAACCTAATATGGAAATGAATCTGAAAGCTGCCTTTCAAAAACTATTAACAGTTTACCCACCTCTTTCCTTTCCCTCATTCTTTCAATATCCTTCTTGGCATTGATGATCCAATCAAGACTTTCAGGTTTGGAGGGATCAAACACAAATATATATCCATCCAAGTTGAATAGATTAGTGTTCATGTATAAATCCATACCTGCAACGAAGAAAATGGCAAATGGTTACTACAGGTTACACTGTTACTACAGCTCTTTATTGGTCCTACTCCATGCATTAGTACTCTGATCTCAGGTCGCTCCGTTTACTGTATGGAGGATTTCTTTCTCAAATCTTTCAATACTTTTTTCTAGGGTGCTGGTTAGTGTCCTGGTAAAACAGCCAAACTGGCTTTATCATACCATTGTAAATCCTTAATTTGAGATCTCTAGATATTTTATGCTGGTCTATTTCTGACTGTCAGCCATTCATTGGGGTTATTGTGGAGCTCAATATAGTTAACATTTATTAATGTTATTTCCGACTAATTACTGAACAATCTCCTTGAAATACTAAAAAAATTATGCAAAACAACTACCATATTTAGTTTCATTAATTAGTAAAATGTGACATTATACAACGTAGAAGATCATAGTAAAGATGCTCAAAATGTTTTTAAAATATCTTAACCTTTTTAATCACTTTCTATTTTTAATATTTTAAGCTTCAAGGGAAACAAAGAAAATGCTGTACTTTACAAATTTAAAACTCAAGGAAAATCTAAGAAAAGTAGACTTTGTATGTTGAATGAACAATATAAAGAATGGGAAGTCTGATCTGAACTGAATTAGAACTGTTTGGAAGCATATATCAATAAATTAAAAATAATATATCTTAGTACCAATAAATAATATAGGAATATATGTTTAATAACCAATATTGATTGGATGGGAGGATAACATGATTTCTTTTTTTCTAAATAAGATTACCCTTACTAGACCAACGTCCAAAATAATAATATAGTCTCCACATAGCCTGAATGCTCATGGCAAAAGATTTTGTAATGTCAGATTAGGATCTTATTTCTTCGTCAAATTCATCATGCAACGTGCCTCATCTGTGAATCGAACACATGAAAATTTCTATATTCATCAACTTAAAAACCTGAACTCGGACACCTGAGAGGTAAACTAAGAATCTAGATTAAGGATGAGTAAGACGACATAAATTAAATATTTTAAAAAGTAACATATAAAAAATAAATCCCTAGTCAAGTCAAATGATTCAACCGCTTGTGACTCATTTAACTACCATTGCCGAAGTCAATTCCAAAAGTTCTGTTGTAATAAAAACACCTTAATATTTCAGAACTGCAAGTGTTTTTGGTTTGAACAAAGATTGTAAAGAATGATAATGCAACAAATTGCAATATAATGTGCTGTATATACAGGGTGTCCTTCACCCAAAAAATGATAACCATTTTTCAACACTATTTATCAAATGAAAATTCAGAAACAGACAGAATCAAATTAACCTCATGGAGTATTAGATTTAGCATGAGACCAGTAATAATAAATTAAACACATGATCATTGGTGAAATATTGGAGATGACATGAATTTAAAAATGACTCGCAAATGTGAAACTCCAAATTGGCTTGTCATTTTTGGCAAAATTAATTAGAACTGTTAGAAAAAAACTAGAGGCTGTTTTGTTTCATGAATATCATATCGTGAATGTGGTTAATAAATCAAATCAATTAAATATGATAAGCAATACCTGTGTCATAGATACGAATTTTTTCTTTTGTCCCTTTATCAGTCTCAATACTCGCAATATAAATGTCTTCAATAGTCGTTTGGAGGAACTAAAAAAAAAAAAGATAAAATATTAAAAGCTATTCTGACATTTCTAATTTTAGTAATTGAAATGCAGTCAAGTATAAACATGCAATCAAACATTTAGAAGCTTGATAAAAAGATTTAGGAGAGAAATGGCAGAAATACAGCAGATGATAGAGAAACCAAGGTTAACAGAAATATACGGAGGTAAGTTTTATTATATATATATATATATATATATATATATATAATATATATATATATAATATATGTATATATATATATATATATATATATATATATACATAAAACTTACTCTACCTAAAGATATATATATATATATATATATATATATATATATATATATACATATATATCTTTTTTACTTAACATGAGTAAAAAAAATTACATTCAGAAGGGTGTGAAACAGGAAGAATTTCTTTCCCCAGTACTGTTCAATTTAGTATTACAAGTAGTCATGAGATCGATCCGGACGTCAGGAGGATGTATATATATATATATGACAGAATTATAAGAAAGACATCCAATGCACTCTTAGGAGCCTTCGAAGAGTGTGAAGAAGCTGCAAAAACAGCAAGACTTCTCATAAATACAGACAAAATTTAATATATGTTAACGAGTGAGATTATAGGCATTATATATATCGAGGGGACTGGATATTGTTTCAAAAGAACACCACAATTTAGCTATCTATGCACTGTTATCACTGAGAATAACAATATAAGAGAAGAAATAAATGCAAAGATCACAGCTGCTAATAAGTGTTTTTGGTCCCTAAAAAAAATCTATCGATATTGTGATATACCAAAAGCTCTCAAAATAAGAGTATATAAGACGGTTCTGCAACCAATTGAAATATATGGAAGTGAGTGGACACTCAACGAAGAGAAGCTATTGAGAAGATGGGAAAGAAAAACTCTTCATAGAATTTATGGCCCAACCAAAGAAGGAAATCTTTGGTGGATGAAGACAACTGACGAGCTAAAGAAGCTATATAATGCCCCATACATTATAACCACCATAAAAAGGGGAAGCATAAGATGGTTGTGTCATATGCAAAGAATGGAGCATGGAAGACTCCCTAAAATGATGATGGAGGGATATCCGGATGGCAGAAGAAAAAGAGGTAGACCTAGACTTCGTTGGCTAGAAGATGTCAAAAGTGATCTAAAAAGCCTGGGTGTAGATAGATGGAGAGAGCCCAAAGAGAGGTCCGTTTGGAGGAAGATAATTGAGAAGATAAAGGTTCTACAAGGACCATCAGATGGTGATGAAAAAAAGTAATCAAATGAAATACGCTATAAGATATAAACAATTTATTAGTTTATAATCTTGATCTTTCTTCATTAAATACTTTCTCCTCACTTCTTGCCTACAGGTCTAATTGAACAAAATAAACATTTTTAATTTAGAGTGCTTTTTAATTTGGACATTTGGCAGATACCTTGTTCCCATTGCATATAATGTACTATTTATATCATTGTAAATAACGAATAGAGGGGCAAAGTATCCCTGAAATTCCACATATAAATATATAATACAGAAAAAAATGTAAATTACGTGTGTATATTTTGTTGCATATGACCTATAGGCAAAATTTGAGGAAAAAATAAATATATAAGACTATAATATAACATATAAGACTAAACTTATTCGCTTATCAAACAAGTAAAAACTGAAAACAATTACTCATTATGGATCATTGGCCTCATTAAAGTATGATGATCATCCTCACAATAATTAATAGCATGGCTATTTACTGATTAGAAGAAAAACAATATATATACTAATAAACAGGAACTGGCAATGTTGTATATGAAAAAGAAACTATTTCACTAGAATTTAAAATGACTAAATGCTGAGAGAACAGCATTTCAACTAGTAAGCCATGACAAAACTGCATAAAAATCACACGCAATTAACATAAATGTCATATTTAGGAATTTATTAGATAATTTGACCCACTGTTTCTTTAGTTAAATTTCCATAGATAACTTGTTCCAATATAGCTGTTTTTCCAACTCCTTTATAACCACAAATAACAGCTCGAGCAATCTTGCCCATTTTAAAATATTAAGGAAAAGAAAGTAACATGAAAACAACACAGTCAAAGTTATGACAGTTTTATCCTAGAGTGTTGACAAGGCGCAGGTTATAAACACACGGCTGGGGTAAGCAGAGAGGTTGTGTATAAAGGGATCCTACACGGCTATTCATGAATGAACGTCACAAGAATGGTAAAGATTGCTCGGGTTCGCTTAGATCATGAAGATCCTTACACGTTCAATCATTACTGATCATTACTTATCTTTGCTGAAGCCAATTTAGCTCAGCTGTAAACAAAGAAACAACATAGATAAGCTTATTTGGACATTGTCCTTTATAGTATTGGACATCAAAAGAAAAATGGAGATATAATAATTAGTTCCTAGTGCCTGAAAATCGTTTAGACAAAAGTTAATAAAATATTAGTCTATTACTTACAAAAAATAAGGAAAGGTATTGCGAAAATAATAAATTTGTTGAGGAAAATGGGAAAAGAACTGACAAATATACACAACAGTTTAAGATTTTTTTTTCTTAAAGAAATTGTGATGTTTCCACTGTTTTTTTAATTTGTTGCCCACTTGACTATTTAAAAGAAATAGTTGAAGATGGGTTATAAAATATAAACAAGGGATATGAAAAATTATTTAACTATCCACTTTTAATGAAAATTAGAAATTTATAATGGTTGTGAGTCCTAGGTTAACTAACCTATTCAGCAGTGTGGTTAGTCTCCCAACTACTTTTACCTCAGTCCACTTTCCGCTTCTCTTGAATGAACCTTTGATTTCCGGATGTTCGGATATCCGCGACACATCACCATCAGTACTCCATTCACTACCTTACACGATAATTTGGAACGTGGATTTGTAAAATGAATTTGTCTCTGCCGCATTTATTCACATTATTATTCCTTCTTTTATTATAATTAGACACGGATTTTTGTATTTCATTACAATTTACAACAGGGTTTTTTTCATATCTTTCTGTGACAAATTCATTAGTAACCACTCACCAGCTGAAAGTTGTTGGTTGGTTCGCGAAGCATTTTATTGTCACTGCATTTTATTTTTTCAAGTACTGGTGTAGTATTTGAACTCCTTCAGTGCTGGTAACATGCTCTGATGTTGACCCACAAGCTTCGGTTGAAATATTGGAAACAACCAACATCTTAAAACTGACTGTGTCCCCACTATTTATCACCCATGTAGAACAGTCGGCTAACTTCCTTCAATAGTTCTTTTGTTTTTTATTTTAAAATAAGTCATTTTTTACGGAAATACTAACGTATTCATCTGACCACAATTTAATCAATATATTATAATCTAAAAATTAAGAACAGAAATGCGCTTCTAAGTCTGAGCGTTCTAATGGCTTTTCACCTTTTCCTTTATTAATGATTTTATCCAAACTCTATAAGAAACTAAGAGTATTTTTCAATTCAATACAGATCATAATATGCACTAAGGCGAAATACCGTTAAACCGTTTGGACTTTGAAGCACATTTCGGTCCTTATTTTTTCTTTATTGTTCCATAACAATATAATCCATATCCATATGTTGACGTTGACTCATGGATGGATGTTGATTCATGTCAACAGAATTTAAAAAGGTATATAATATGTTTATACATTCTAGTTCTGTTATAAATATAGTTAAATTAGCCGAATCCAAAGAATTGAAAAGACAAAATGTACTTAAATGCGACTACTACTACAACTGGAATATTAGCCCAGTCAAATTAGACATGTTATCTTGTAAAAGGTCGGGTAATTTAAATTTCTTTTTTATATTGTTAGGTATGCAGTAAATATAAAAAATCCAAGTTTCCGCCCTTGAAAGCCTTGTGGTTTCTCTGCAGTGCTAAAAAAACCATTGAAATTTCGATTTTTTTTTTTTTTTACGCTAAATAGAGCAACATGGATAAAAAATTGTTGTATTCAATCTTAAACAACTTAAAATTACCTAACATTTTTTTCTAAACCCAACAGGATGCGAACTATCGAGCTTTTAAGATTTACCCATTTCGATTTCTTCGCAATTAGTCCGGGATTTATCGAAGAATTAAACACGTGATCAGTGGCAGAAGGCTTGAAAATTGAAAACAGTAGAGATTTACTCGGTAATGACAAAAACCATCTAGTCAGACGGCTAACAGGAAGCGTTTGACTCTAGTAGAATTTGAAAAAGTGAAAAAACTGCCAAAAATTACGTGATCAGCAGCAGGGAAAAAACAACTGGAATAGTTTCAGACCACTTAGTGGGTAACAAATTTTATAAAGTCAGACAAAATTTTGGAAGCTTTATAGGAATTTAACAAGCCTATTTGAAAAAACTGCCAACAATTACGTGATCAGCAGCAGGTAAAAAAAAACAATTGGAATAGTTTCAGATTATTTTCTAGTTTAAGTCAGTGACTGATTTAATTTAATAAAGTCAGACATAATTTTGGAAGCTTTATACGGATCTGACAAGGAAATTTGAAAAATGTGCCAACAATTATGTGATTAGCAGCAGGAAAAGAACTGGTTGGAATCTTTTCAGAACACTTCCTATGTAATTAATTTTAAGACGTATGACAGAATTTTTTAAATAAAAATTTTTGCTTTTATTCTTTTATTTAAAAGTACGATTGATTTTTTTTTTTGGATATACATTTTATATAACGTTAAAAAATTGTTAGCTGTATAGTTCAATCAGTGACCTTTTCACCTTAATAAACGTTTTTTATTTACTTTATCTTTTAGTAAATTAATCAAAATTATATGAACAAGAGAAGATCTATTACAGTCAATACCAGTCATCATTAGGCATACTCGTTTGGAGAATTTTGAGTTCGTTTAAAATTTTTCGCAATCTGCTATGTTGAATTTTGATGAACTCAATCTGTTTTCTGATCTAGTTTAAAAGAAAAAAAAGATCTTTCATTCTGTAACAAATAGAAATATTTCACGATTTAATCCATTAAAAAGCTGTTTATTTGATAATTTGAACAAAGATTTAAAAATTTGAAATTTCCCAACAATTTTGTCTTAGTGGTATTTTCTTCTCAGCGTATATATTATAGGCTATAGTTGAACTATATTTTTCAATAATTTTGTCTATGGAGGAACCCGTACACCTTAGAAGCCCCAAGTCAAAAAGAAAACGGCACCGTGTTAGTATTAAATAATTACCCGAAGATAATATAATCCCAACAAAAATCAGTTCAAAATTCCTCATTATACAAAGGACCGATGGATATGATTTTCAGAAAGTGTCAACTTTTTTCATAAATAAATTCTTGACAGGATAAATAGGAGATCTAAAAAATAAAAAATCCCCCAAAAAAATATTTGCATTTTATTTCCAAGATAATAAAATATAGAAAAAATAATTTGTTTTGTATTTTAAATACACAGAATAAATTACCAAATAAAGTAGGCTCTCTGCTATATTGGTTGATCGCCCACATGCAAATATTTAGTATTTGTATTTTGTAATTAAAATACTAGAACATTTTTTAATAGAAATAATTTTATTGAAAACAATTTAAATACTTCGTAATTAAAATACACTGTATTTTTAAAACACAAAATACTTTGTATTTTATATATTGTATTTTGAATCATAATTAAAATACATTTTCCCAGGTTTGATTTAAACAAACAACTGTCTTAAATTGCCAATTTTGTTCCAATTCCGCTCATAATTTTGGACACTTTTTGCGATTTTTGAAGACCTCACAGATTAGTATAAAGCTTCCAAAGTGTTGTAAGATTTTATTAAATCAGTCACCTATAAAGTGATCACGTAATTTTTGGCACTTATGATTTTTAAAGCTTCCAAAATTTCGTCTGACTTTATTAAATCTGGTCCCTACTTGTTGGTCTGACTAATTGACCTATTCCTGTCGGGTTTTTTTTTGCTCCTAATCACGTAATTATTTCACTTTTTTCAAATTGGCTTGTCAGATTCGTATAATGTTTCCAAAATTATGTCTGATGTTATTATATCTGTTACCTACAAAATGGTCTGAAACTATTCCAATTGGTTTTAATCTGCTTTTAACCCAGAATGTTCAAACATGGCAGATTGACGTCATTGACATGAGTTAGTTTTCGTTTACTAAGTTTCAGTATTTGCTTTAATTTCGCCGTAATTGGTCTTTTATTAAAGCTGGATAGTTGGAGAATGATAAAACATAAAAAAATAATTGGTCTTGGTAATAAAAAACACCGGTAAAGCCAAGTTTGTCAATTCACTCAAACTGATGCTGAAAATCATACGTCGCTTGTGAATAAACGGCCTACAATAACGAAAAACGCCTTGAAAAAAAATCTGGAGAATATATTTTTCTTCCTAAAACACTGATTAATTTTTAAAACATCTGAAGCAGTTACTTCGAAAATGCACTTAATAGGCGGAAAAGCTGCACTGGCATAGGCGTCTAGAGTCTTGTGCAACACCATTAATTACTCATAAGTGGCATAGTTGTAGTGATATAATTTTGTATTAATATTTGATTGTATTAACGAACAAATATTAATACAATAATTGGACTGTCATTTTTTTTTAACCTTTACACATTTTGAAAGCTCGATAGATCGCTTCGTGATAAACTTAGAAAAACATATTATGTACAAAAATGTTTAAGATATAATTGTAAGTTGTTTAAGATTAAATATAACCATTTTTTTATCAATGTCGCTTTAAAAAGGATATATTTAGAGTAAACAAAAAAAAGTTCGAAATTTTAATGGTTTTTGAAGCACTGCTCTGTTGAAGCTTTCAAGGGCAGAAACTTGGATTTTTTATTGTCACTGCATATCTAAGAATATAAAAAAGAAATTTGAATTTGCAAGATAGGTCACTCGAATCCTCCCTCCTTACATATATTCCTCTCAACGAAAATATTATTATCGCTGGTGATCTCAACACCAACCTCCTTTCAAACACTCCGGACAGAACATATCTTACCGACCTAGTTTTTTCCTTAGATCTGTTTATTGTACCCTTTCTACCCACCCATCACATC